GACCCTTCGATTGGCGATCTATGCTGAGCATCTCCCGTCGTCTCCTGCAGCACCGCCCACTCCTCATCCGCCTACCTTTCCGCGCCATGGCGGCGGCGACGGACGCGCCGTCGAAGAAGCGCGACGCGTCGGCCATGGACGCGGGCTACCAGCGCATCGCGGAGGGCAGCGCGTCCATGAACTACGAGCTGCGCGGCGCCGACACGCGGAACCGGGGCACGGCGGACCACGACGGCCCCGTCTTCTACAACAAGGTCCAGGTCTTCAACCGCGACCTGAGCGTCCTGATGATCTCGCTCTTCGCCCAGTGGCGCCACATCGAACGCGCGGAGCGCAAGGCGAAGCGCGACGCGGGCAAGGCCGGCGACGGCGCCGCGGCCGCCGCCGCGGAGCGCGAGCGGCTCTACGCGCTCAGCGCCGCGGACCTCGACGCGTTGCTGCGCGCCGAGGCGCAGACCGACGGCATCCGCGTGCTCGACGCTTTAGCGGCCACGGGCCTCCGAAGCATCCGCTACGCCAAAGAAGTCCCCGGCGTCCGCAAGGTCGTCGCCAACGACGTCGACGCGGACGCCGCGGCGGCCTGCGGGCGCAACGCCGCGGAGAACGGCGCCGCGGACATCTGCGAGGCCCACTGCGGCGACGCGGTCGACTTCATGACCGCGTCGCGCGGCAAGGGCTCGCAGGGCTTCGACGTCATCGACCTCGACCCCTACGGGTCCTGCGCGCCCTTCCTGGACGCCGCCGTCCAGGCCGTCAACGACGGCGGCCTCTTGTGCGTCACGTCGACGGACATGACCGTGCTCAGCGGCAACTACCCCGAGGTCTGCTTCGCGAAGTACGGCTCCATGCCCACGAAGGCGAAGCACCTCCACGAGTTCGCCTTACGGATCCTCGTCCACGCCATCGAGGCCGCCGCGGCGAAATACCAGCGCCACGTCGTGCCCGTGCTCTCCCTGTCCATCGACTTCTACGTGCGCGTCTTCGTCCGCGTCTACAAGCGCCCCGCGGAGGTCAAGAAGTCCGCGGCGAAACGGGCGTTCGTGCTCCAATCCGCGGGCTGCCCGTCCTTCTACTTGCAACCGTTGGCGCGCTCGCTCGACCGCGAGGGCGGCCACGCCGCGGCGCTCCTCCACCGCAAGGCCGTCGCCAAGGACGCGTCGGAGCGCCAGTCCGCGCGCGAGCGGCGCCGCGAGAAGAAGCGCGAGCGGGCCGCCGGCGGTTCGTCGGAGGCGGCGCCCGAGGAGGAGGCGCCGCCCACGGAGGAGGCGGCCCCGGCCGCCCCCGAAGCAGCGCTCGACGAGACCGTGGCCCCGGCCTTCTGCGGCGAGACGGGCGCGCCCTTCAAGATCGGCGGGCCCATCTGGTCCGCGCCCTTGCACGACCCCGAGTGGGTCCTCGCG